TAGGTCATAGTGTTTTCACGTTTCGGTTTATTGACTTCCGACAAACATCTAAACTGCCATTTAATATTACCTTGATATTTATCGACAACCGAGCGTTTTACAAGTTACAGATGACCTGTGTTTAGGGGTTATTTTACTCCTGATTATTTTCACCTTGATGCATTTAAATATGCTGTTAATTAGCTGCAGGAATGTACTTGTCCTTCAAGTCGGCCTTTATGTATACCGGGACTACTCTTACCTGTTCGTGTAAGCTCGGCTATTCTCGTGCGTCTTCGGCTACCAGGCGTCGGCGGGTGTCTTCCTAGGCAAAACATGGGAACGTTTTGCAATTTATCAGTCTCAGTTCTCACACTTAATGTTGCAAAGGTGGCTTATGATTGCCTTGTTAAACTGGTTCTCACTGTCTGCGTTATCAGCCAATTGTGGCTACGGTTGCCAACTAACCTCAATCTTAACCTCAAACTGCTTGTTTGTTTTGGGACAGCTGTTTACCTGGTTCATAACTGCAATTTTAGAGGAATTTGATTCTCCTAAGGTATATTTGTTTGTTTAGCAATACATATGCGTCTATGGTGAAACTAGCCATTTTGGTTGTTGTTACGAAATTGGGGGGTTCGGTTAAATGACGCTTTTGAGGAAAATAGGTTTTACATACTCTTGTTTGGAATCAAGTATGTCTAGAGGTCATAACAGTTCATGTTATATTTTGTTGGATGTGTGTTAAACTCTAAAAACACGATTCAAAACTAAAAGTATTAAAATTGTATTAATACTAATTTTTAATTAATGATTGAGTCTGACAATTTAGAAACAGTATTACATTACATCAACACTTTCCAAACTATTGGACATGAAATTATATAAAACGCCATTAAGGTAATCTAGATCAACTGTAATCTGACGTAGCTTTTTGTAAACAGCTGTACATTATACTACAGTAAAACCTTGATAACAAGACCCTCATGGGGATTGTAAAATAACACTTGTTATCAAGGTTGACTTCTTATCGAGGTTTGTAATAACATGTGATTAGGGATAAAATAATTTTAAGGGAATTTGAAAATGACACTTGTTATCAAGGGCGACTTGTTATCGAGGGTCTTCTTATCAAGGTTCCACTGTATAATGGGTTCATACGCACTCTGATTTGAAATCACCAAACATTCCTAATATAATTATTACAAAGCAGTAAAGTTTAACTCCTTATTGTTGTAACACTTCCTGTAATATACCGAAGCCTGTTTGCTCCAATAGCTGTTTGCGCCGAGACCGCTAGCCGCTTGCGCATTGCGCAACCAATCTCCGTTCTAGGCTAGCGTGTCAGCGGCATGCTGTGTTATTAGCTCGTAGTTAATATTATACGAGCTCTGGACCTGTTGGCAACGGTATTAGCCTCGTGGCGTTACAGTTGTAACAACCGTGGTTGTAGTAGAGAAAAACTAGCGTTGAAATTCCCTCGTTTGACCAGATGTTCTACTCGAGAAATTGTCTCGTAAATTTAATTACTAGATAGTATCAGGTTTGAGAGAAATAAAGTCTCCAGTTATGTCAGTTTCCAACGTAATAAAAGGTTTTATATTTTAGTTGATTCTATTGTTGAACTATGAAGGGAGTTCATACCTTTAGAACGAAAGATGATTTTAAGGAGGCTGGTGCATCTTGCTCAAAGCAAAATTTTCTTTTTTAAAATTTCATATTTAATACGAAGTACGACAACATAGAGGTATTTAAATAGTAATGTATGTATACCCAATTCAACGTAATCTAACGGAATTCACAGATTAAAGCAATTGTTATCAATCTTTCAATTTAATTAGCTAATCCTCACGCGCTGTTCATAAATCTCATTTCGAACCATCTGCCTTCCTCCCACCAAAGCAACAAACACTTCAAAAGTAATTAAGTCACAAAAGGCAGTGTAATCCTATCCTCGCCTAGCCAATCCCGTAATCGGATTTCACAGCTCTGTGACGAAATGTGACAAGATCTCTGACAATGGACCACGTGCCTCTTGACCCGCGGGGGCGTTGGAATTCGGAAGTTGTGTAATCCCAAAAAACTCGTTCCTCTCGCAAACGGCCGTAAGTCACCAGCTGAAGAAGATATAAAGATATTGTGGAAGAAATTTATTTGTAACGCTTAAACTGATTTAGTTATTGATGAAATAAAATGATTACCTTATCCAAGTACAGTTGTCGGAGTGACTTAGTAGATCGGGCCAATTGGTATGCAACCACATCATCAATGTATTACATTTTGGTATGTTAATAGATTCTTTAAAGTACTGTCACAATCACAATAATTAAAATTATCAGATGTTTTAAAGTCCGATCCGTGAGTAAGATGAGCAATACTGTAGCGATAACGAATTTATTAAGACTTCCCTACACATTTCCCTACAACTGGATATTGCAGATTTAAATTGTTAAATAAATTGTTGCCTGTTCAGTATCCTTTGGTGCGTCAGATGAGTAAGACTGTTTCGTGACGACGGTCACATAATCAGGTCGATTCGTCAAATATTTAAAGTTTATATAGATATTGAATATGAAACAGTTTATTTAACAATCTATTAAGACAATCGGAAAAAATAAACACACTAACAAGATCTTGATCACCTTTACAGCGATTCCCATACTTTATTCTGCTTGGTAGAGAACTACCAGCACAGAAAACATACTTCTGTGCTATCAGTCAACAAGACAAATATAGCTGAGGTAACCACGCTAGAGGCGACTGACTCAGGCTTGTATCTTGGCTTGTACAAACCATTCATCGGTAGTCAACAAACCTTACCGCAACACTAGGAGAATGTCAGATGAGACATGAAGTCATACTGAATCACGACTTACAAATTGGGCACCAGCTGATCGAATGGCTGTTTATAGCGCGGCTATGGTGATTGCTTCTTGGGTTGGGCATCCCGTAATCACTTGCTGGTTAACTCGTTGCATCATTGCTTGGAGGATTGTAATCTATTTTGAATTTTTATGTGCTAAAATGACGGTATTCAATTATAGTTAAGTATGCGTTAAAACTCAAGCTTGAGCTTTTGAACAAAGCTTCGGAAAATTTTCAAAATTGTTTCACGGATTAATTCCTGACATGGATGACAGAACTCCCATAGCTGTATATAGTGTTTGTGTACAGTACACGAATACACATCCTAAAGATAATAAGTTTATTCCTTTAACTGTATATGATGTTTGTGTACAGTACACTAATATACATCCTAAGGAGGATGAGTTTATTCCTACAACTATATATGATGTTTGTGTACAGTACAAGAGTGCACAGACCGGACAGGTCACCGCTAGACATCTGACGGGATAATATTCACTCGGAACTGACGCAAGATTGCGTCACCGACTGACCCACTTTTGCTCCGTTCTCTTAGCTTGCTCTGCTTGCGCCGCTCGCTTATGGCGGGTCAAGACAAATCCATCGCTGATTATTTGATTACTGAGTAGCCGTGGCTGCACTTCCCCGCCTACAATGCTCTAATGCAGCCAAATGTCTGGTATTTGCACCGGGTAACGTACGTGCGGCTTGATTAGCTAGGAGACCTTAACGCGCGGTTGTACTGATTCCCTAGAATGTCGTGGCGTTGAGGTGGATTAAACTGGGACATTTCTTTGGCAACTCAGTAAAGTTTTTTTTACTGTAAGATAAACTGGGACTCAGTAAAATAAAATAAAATTATCTTTCGTCAACATACTTTTTTTTTTGTAAAAATTACTTTCTTAAAAGTTATACAGTACATGATATGAAAAGGTCCACAAAGGTGCATGCGAATAATTCTCTTTTATAAGTCAGACAAATTGAAAGATAAATGTTCAAGCAATGCAGGAAAGCAACACAATTAATTCACAGGGAATGTTTTACCAGTGGTAGTATGGATCTTATTCATTACTAAAAAATCCACAAAACATAAATAATCTTCAAAAATAATTTTTTCGTGTAATGGGGAAAAAACAGTAGTCAGTTGAATGAAATCGTCTACACAAAAACTAACATTATTTGTTAAAACAACACGAGAAATACTTATATACACATTGACAAGTATTTACACCACGACTAATATCAATGAAGAGGATACGCTTGCACAAAATATAATTGTCTACAATGACAAATTCAGCAATTTGATTGCGCGTCGCGTCGGTGGGTCAATGTGTTAGTGGGAGGTATGGCAACAGCTGGTGAATATTTGCGCAGGTTTGCCAACCCCAGACAATGACAGCAGGTGCTAACAACCTAACAGCGTATTTGCATGTGAATGGCGGTGGCCGCGGTTACCTCACAAACCAAACTTAACCAGCATACTGAGCCCGACCTGTTTACTGTTACCGTCCTAACATTGGTCAAGCAAAAACAAGTTTGTGGTCTTGTTTTTTCGTGTTCTGCATCACTGGATGTTTTTGAATGGAGTCTTATCGTTTTTAGAATGTTTCTTTGAAGTGAAGACTATGAGCTGCTCAGCCAATCTTACTATCTCATTATAAGGCGATTCACATGCTTTAGGATTGCATTTCTCAAGAATAAAGTCTATTAAATTGATATTGCAATGATTATTTCACACATTTAGAACAATTTAAAGATGCCATTGATTAATTGTATACCATTCCCATGAATAAAGTCAAAACTAGTAACTCTGCATTGAAGAAATAATTCATCTACACCAATAATTAAAGAAACCCTAATTTCAATAAAAATGTTTTAAATCATTAGGTTTGCAAGTTTCGCAAACATTACGCCATCAAGTAAGTTAATTATTGCAGCAACACCGCTATTACATGTATTTTTTGATTGAAAATGTGTACTAGTTCTTTGTGAATGTCTGCCTCACAATTTTACAGAGCTCCATAATTACATGGAGCACATAGAACCTTACCCCAGTTACGATTCCATCTGTTTAGAGGTTACATACTGCAACTATCCTGTCACTATTACCTATACCTACTTTATCTGTGTCTAACCTGTCGCTCTGTCTGTCGCAGTTTGGGACCGAACACTCTTCACAGCGACATGGTGTCACGTCGCAGGATCCTGTCGCGATCACGTGACGACCTAAACCTGGACTCCGCCCCAACATTCGCCCCTCCAGAGGAAGAAGAGGACGTTTGGTATCAGAAAGAAAAATTGTACAAGGTAAGGACCCTATTTAGTTTTGCTGCTCTATGTAAATTAACATAAACGTGTATTTAAAGATATTTATAATCCCAGGAAGACAGGTTTTATTCCTTTTATAGACTTACTATTTCATTAAATTTTACTACATTACCGGCGACATGACTAGTTGTTAAATAACTGGTGTATCCACAGGTACGTTGAAAGTGGATTCAAATAGCTCTACTTTCTACTGATTTCCTCTATCTCGGAAACTAAACGGAACTCGCTCGTGTCTTCTAGTTTCTCTCCTGTAAATTCACTTTTAACTCAGACAATAATATACTAGCTACTCTCAAAATAATGAAATATATAAACTATTTCACGTCATAAATTTGAAACATATTTATTTGAATGGTAAATAGCTATTTTGCATTATATTTCAGCAATACATGTTAATTTTATTTCAGTATTTGCTAGCATTATTGCTTTAAACCTTTCGGGTGCCACCCTATATGCATCTAAAATTTCAATTAGCTCAACTATAAAAGTAAAGAGTTTTTTTTCAGGTTTGGGGTATTACTCTACAACTTTAGGTAGGTTTTTTATGTCTGACCTTCAACTTCTACGACGCTAGGGTCTAGCCTGGAACTGTTTTTACACATTACTTCAGAGTAGTCCTACAGAGTCGCGGCATCATTATAAACACAAAGTCCTTTGGTGATTGGTTGGATTTGAACCTGTGGCCTCGGGCTCCCGCGCTACACCACTATATTGATGAGCTTTTCTCCAACTTAGATTGTATACGAGTTCATAAAAAGTCTTCGCAATTTTCAATAAGTGACTCATTACAAAATGATGAATGAGTATTTTTCTATGTAAACCACTTAATAAAAATAATAATCTCTCAAACCATCCTGATCTTCCCAATAAAAATAAGATACCTCACTGATTTAGAGCCAGTTTTATTTTTAGCCCGTGGTACAACAAATCAAACGTGAACGGTTTAGTAATAAAACTGGCAAACTGTGCCAGAAGTGAGAGTAAAATATTGTAATGACTCCATTCATCAATGTCAGAAACAGGACCAGGACCCGGGCCTTACCGTTCACCTCCACGCTATGGGAGTGCCAGCTCCAGGCTGCTTACAATGTCGGCCAATAAATGATACATTGGACTAGCCGTTGTATTTGTTTTGGTTTCAATGTTCATAAAGTTGGATTCAAATTTGTGGTGGGATCGCAAAAATACGTATTTTACAGAAAAATCGAGTTGTGACATTATTGCATAACACGATAGATTCATTCACGATAGAATAATATTTACAAATATTTACGAAGCTCTGAGAAAACTTACGAAGTTTATTGAGGGTTATCTAGTTTAGTCTGTTGACTAAACGCAGTTAGAAGTAAAATAATTTCCTCAAACCGCTCAAGCGATTAAAAGTGAATTTCAAATACGTTTCCTACTTCAATACAGAACAGTACACTGGAAGAATGAATATACTGAACAAAGCTTATAGTTCCGGTGAGTATGCTTTGTGATGCTATTGATAATCACTCAAACTTATAAATGAAATTGTTTTGCTTAAAGTATGATAACAATACAAGGACTACTATGATGTATTACTACAGTACTAAAAATATAAACGATGCAACTGATTCGGACTACTATGCATTATTGAAATGATAGCCACCATATAATGTTTCTTGTTCAGTAACGTTCAAGCAATTTTACAGGTTGTCATAATCATATTTCAAGTACAAGGAGAAATTTGTTATTTTATATCAGAACTATTCTACAATTGCTGTACAACAATTGCGTAATAAATGTTCAGTTATTTATCTTATCGAAGCATAACAGGAAAATAAACTCTCATTGGATATGTTTCCTGATATAAACCAATATTATTCACCGTACACACAAACAACCTCCAGATCCCCCTGGGAAGCTGATATTCTTGTAGGTACCGGGTCCTCAGTTGGGGTTCTTCCTAGGTTCCGTGACCTTACTCACGGTAGACACCCGTGACTCTACTTCGCACACACAAGCTACCTCCAGATCCCCCTGGGAAGCTGATATTCTTGCAGGTACCGGGTCCTTAGTTGGGGTTCTTCCTAGGTTCCACGACCTTGCTCCCGGCAGACACCCATGACTCCACTTCGCACACACAAGCTACCTCCAGATCCCCCTGGGAAGCTGATATTCTTGTAGGTACCGGGTCCTTAGTTGGGGTTCTTCCTAGGTTCCACGACCTTGCTCCCGGCAGACACCCATGACTCCACTTTGCACACACAAGATACCTCCAGATCCCCCTGGGAAGCTGATATTCTTGTAGGTACCGGGTCCTTAGTTGGGGTTCTTCCTAGGTTCCACGACCTTGCTCCCGGCAGACACCCGTGACTCCACTTTCCCCCGCGTCAAGGACGAACGTTGTTTGTCGTCCCTCTCACCAGCTGTTCAGGAACTATACCACCAAAACAGAAATTACATTCCTTCGAGATAGAACGTAAAGTAAAAATTGGGGAAAGAGGATGGAAAATTATATTTTCTTTGCTAAATTTAATTATTGATATATGCTATTCATACATCTTTGATAAAACAAAAACTCACAGCATTATATGTTTCTTTTCTGCTGTTAACAAAACAAAAATCAAGATTTAATCTATAATCTAACCATACAGAAATATCACTTAACAAAAAAGTAAAATACAATTGTATGTGTGAAGGAATGGCTAAACATTGCGTTCAAGTTCAATTCTTTCAACATACGTAATACGCACATGAATCACCTGAAGGAAAACCAACCAAGATTGATCCGAGAACTCATAACCAAAATGTAATCCCATTTCTCTATACGAATTTCAAATTTATTATTTCACTACAAATACCCAAGTCTTGGCTCGGGCCCACAAACAATATGGCAAGACCCGTTTTAACTAAGATGAATCACTATCCCTCCCACAACTATCTAAGGGTTGCGTAAGATCAAATCAGTTGGTTATGTAACCGGTTCAATTCGGTTATTGAACGCAATTCAGTGATTACATCGTTGCCCAAGAACCAATCAGAGCTCACTGTTCCGCTACAGAACTAGAACTGGTCTCCCCCGGTATCATTGAACAATTGGATCATTCAACTGCATTCTTTACAATCCTGTTCCTCAATCTTAACCGCTTTCTAATCTAATTGTCTGTGTGAAATGTGGACCATACAAAATACTGTGGAGCGAACCAATAGATACAGTGAAATAGTTTAATATGGTTTGGTGGTTTTAAAAAGTAGCACTTGCAAATAGATTACAGTTTTCATGGAATTTACAGAAGTAAAAATGAATCTAGCAAATTAATATCACCTTATTGTTAATATGCTTGGATTACAGTTCCTTTGACGAATTTTAGTGCCATCTGTAGTCTGTGGTTAGTACCATAGGATTTGTTAACAACAAAACATCCGGCTCGAAGGACCAAATTTGAGATTTTTTTTGTGTAGTTAAGTCAATCTATTCTATGTAATCCAGCTTTTACTCAGCTGGAGGAGGTGACCCTATTTTAAATCAACATTCATTTTGATTTTCTAGGCATCCTCAAAAAATTTATTCTGATTATTCCTGGATTTGGTTTAGTTTCACATATTATTTCTTAATAAATAAAATCTGAATCATTTTGTTAAATTCTGGTCCATTTCTTGATCCCTTATTTAATATTTTCACTGCCTGGAACCCGATCAAATCAAATCACTATAAACAGGGTAATGGTCGAATAACTGACGTTACACCTAGTCGTCACTAAGGGTTCTTAACCTGCGTTATGGTGGGGGGGGGGCGAGAATACATGACGCAACCCCCCTTGTGGGGATCCTGTTACCAACAAAACACCTTGTAGGGAACCAGATTAAGTAACCAGAGCTATAGAAACGGGAATACACAGGATGCTCCTAACTACTAACGGCTCTCTACGCAGTCCAGGGTTAGTTTTAGTGCTGTGATGTGGTTAGGCATGGGCAAGGATTAACATATTGACAGTGGCTTCATAGTGAATGATATAAATAAGTAAAGGTAGAGGATTTGGAATCAAATAGTTATATTGGAAATCCAATTTTTTGTTTAAGGGATGGAATTTTTCAGACTAAACTGTAATTATTCTGAACTCTATATAAAATGAAGCTTGATAAAATGTAATAAACATTTCTACCATTCTACTAGTTCATAATCCCCAAACCTTGATTTTTCAGTATATTATATTGTGTTTAAATCACAAATATCTAGTATTGTTTTAAATAGTGAATAGTAGATAGTATTTAAGTGTTTTCCAAAATTGTTCATGATACTGTTATTTTTTTTAAGAAATCCCTAGTAAATCACTTTGTTGATAAACCGAAATACGTACTTTCTTAGTCAAAATCTGTCACAAATGAAATGTTTTACACTTCTATATAAATCATCACAGATCTAGGAATCAACAATGTTCCTACTCCATTTTATAATGTACCCAATTGGGAATTACAACGTATTTGAAAGATTCAATAACCCACCCAGCTTCAAAGACCACGATTGTAAAGCCTAAAAACTTCTAAAATTGTATTTGACCTATATTATAAAGTAAGTCTTACTGAAAAAATTTCAATCTTTACTTAATGTAACACTGTACTTTATTTCTGCCAGCCACTGGTTTTCTTGGAGATTTTCTCTGAATGATAAACGGTATCCTCCAGAAGATGTACCGTGCACAATCACGCAATCTAACGTCAGAAAGTGCATTTCACTTAATCTCTAACTCATGGTTAAACGTCGTAATGAGATGTCAGTTGTTGCAGTATGTTGGTTTTCCGTGCAGTATGGGTTATAACAGGATCCTATGTATATCTTAAATACTTTGCAGGTATATAATCGGACTTCATACATTTAAATTATACATTACGTCGTTTGATGAATTCAAAGGATATATTATTTGTAAATATCATTGTGAATGACTTAAGACTGTTTTCATAATGTTTGTGTAGTGTACAACTGTAATGCCTATAAAATATTGTAATTGTTTTTC